CAAGGTTACCCAGGTCCACGTTTTGGTCTATATCTCGAGACCCTAGTTATTTTTTAAAAATTTTCTTTGCTACAAACCTCACGGAGCCCGAGCCCTTTCCAACGAATGCAAAACCGTGGGAATCGGTTCGGCAGTTCTTGAGTTATAAGATTACCAAGGAAATGTAACTTCTTTTTATATATATGTGACCTGGTCTACGAAAAGGGAGCTTACGTGCGAAAACTAGTTTTCTGTGAAAAAGCTGTTAAAAGTAAGCAACTCGTTTCGTTTACTCGTTTTTACTCTTGTTTCTCTACATTTTTAGTACACTTCTAAGCAAGTTAGGATTTTCTGCTTTTCACCACGTGAAAAAGCATCTCATCTTCCATCCGAATCAACCAAAAAGTGAAAATTGATTTTTTGACACCTAAGCCCCCTTTCCGTATACCAGGTCACATATAGATTCCAAACTCTAAACAAAACCTTAAGATAAGAAAAAAATTACCTCAAACTTTTGCTACAATTTTACATATACATATGTATTTCGTTGTATTTTTGCTATAATCACTTAAAAAACTTTTCGATTTTTTTAGCCTCAAAATTTGACTAGTTTTATACATATGAATTTTACAGTTTTATATTTTACCTTAACCAGCTATTTAAATTCTGTTTTTATATTTTTTAAATTCTTAAATTTAAAAAAAAAAAATTATTATTTTCAAAACTTCACTTTGAATCTTTTTGAAGCTCAAATTTTTACTCCATTATTAAAAATGTTAAGAAAACATTTCCAAACGCAATATTTTTTTCTTAGTGACATTTTAACACGCTCTCGGTATTAATTCTAACCTAAAAAATTTACTTTATTCGATATTTATTTTTTTAATTTTAAAATTTACGCGAGATCTATTTTTATCCTAAAATCTGATGTACTGTAAATGCATACATTTTGCTATGTTCATTTTCTATAAATTTCTTTCCCCATTTTAATCGGCCTCAATTTCATGCACTTTTAATGACTCATATTTCATAAATATGTATGAAAAACATGAGTACCAAACAACAACCAACCAACCTAACAACAAATACCGACATACATACATAAGTATGCATATTTACAGAAATTATGCAAAAAGCAAATGAAAGCAGAAATAAAGTATTAACATTAAAAAAAGTAATAAAATGAAAATTAATGCCGGTAATAAAAATGCGAGAATAAGCAAATATTACAGCCGTATACTACAAAAACGGTATTCATGAACCAGTATGCGGGGTAATTGAATTATAACACACATGCATATAGTATTTATAAAAATATATAAACATTTATATCTTAATGAGTTTAAGTTTATAATTAAATAATATTCAATACTTAATACCAATAAAAGGAGAAAAAAATTATAATATAAAAATCAACCAACAGCAACAGCATTGAGAACATATTAAATATAAAATATTATTAATTAAGAAAAACAATGAAAAGGCAAATAACAAAATAATTAAGTAAAGGCATAATAACAAAGCAAAAGGAACAACAACAAAAAGAAAATACAAAAAAACCAGAAAATTTGCAAACGCTGTACTTTGCAGCAGTTAGGAGCGGAAATTGAAAAATAAGAATTGTAAGTTTAAAAAAAAATTATAAAAAAATTGCAAAACCTTTAATAAAAACAGTATGATATAATCAACCAAAAATGTTGTTGGATTATTGTGAAACGTTCTTAATTTTTTTAATTTTTTGTTTGGTAAAACTATTTTTTGGTGCGCTCAGAAGCTCAAAAGGCATAGTTGTTACCACAGTCTGGATCAATGAAAAAAAGTACTGAGCGGCAAGATGTCGACATTCGTAAGGTTTTTCAAATGGAATCCACATTCTTTCCGCAACATAAATGCGTGCAAATGGCGCACAGCATCGTTTGGACGCTGCGCCAATACGCAATGTAGATTAAACAGATGCGATCCACATGCGTTCCACAACGAATTCACATATAAACAGCGCCAGAAATAGTTAGGGTACTGCGCAAATACTTAAAATAAAATAATCGCGTGCAATCCACATACGTTCTACATGCAAATGAATACAAAATTTCATAGAAAACACGCGAAAGCATTTAAAGGACTTTAAACATGTTTTTTGCGCTTTCAGAAGCTTGATTATGAAATAATGAAACTAAAATTTCGATTTTAGGCACATTTAAAAATATCATTTAATTTTCTTTCTTCCACAAGCTGCCAGCAGAGGATTTGACAGTGCGTATTAAAAAAAATTAAATTTGTTTATGAGAATGCTAGCTTTACTGTTTTTTTTTATATTAAGGAAGTGGTCGAGCATTACGTTTAAAAAAATAATATTTTTTCCTGAAAAATTGCATCACATTCTCATTTATTTCGTCTCAGTTTCTCAATTCTGAAAATCCATGTTTTATTAAACATTTTCCCCTCTCTCTCTCTCCCACTCTCTTTCAGGCATGCTTCTACACCTGGGCTCTCACTCCTCCACCTCGAACTTGACGGCGTCAAATTCGTCCGCGCTTAGCGCCAACAGCAACAACAACGCCAGCCAACAGCAACCGAACAGCCTCGGCAGTTTGAGCAGTAGTGGCAGCATAACGGGGCTGCAACATCCGAACAGCATGTTGCATGCCCGCAGCGGCATGCGCGGCAACACCGCACTGCCCACGTCATATTCCGTGCCGAAGTCAATGTATAAGTCACAGCAGCAACAGCAACAGCAACAGCAACAACAGCAATCACAGGCGGCTGCGCTGTTGGCAGCGCAACAGGGTCTCCAGGCGCTACTCTCGCCCTCGGCGTCGAGCCACAACAGCATTGTCAGCGGCGGTGGTGGCGGCGCTAGCAGCAGCGTCGGCAGCAACAGTAACTGCAATCAGAATAATAACAGCAGCAACAACAACAACAGCTATCCGCATGCCATGGACTGTGATCCGCCACAAATGCCGCCACCGTCACGTTTCATCGGCGGCACCAGCGGCAGCGGCGTTTCTCTGTCCAATTCCGCCTCAGCGTCTTCGTCCTCGAATAGCAGTAATAGTGGCAGTGGTGGTGGCAGCGGCAGTGCTGGTGGTAGTGGTCGCATGCGTTCCGCGCACCACACTTTTATCGCCCCACCACAGAAGCCACCACACGTCCAGCAAGCGCAGCAGCACCAACAACAACAACATCTCGCCTCTGCGCAGCAGCAACCACCTCTGCAGCATAACAGCTATGCGCCCAACTCACTGCCCGTCGAATTGGTACACCATCCATTGTCGTCCGCCGCCTCGCATCTCATGATGACCGATTCGAGCGTCATAACTGCCAGTGCGGCTGGCACCACATCCGGCCCGCCCTCTTATACGTCGTTGCTGTATCAGCAGCAACAACAACAACAACAGCAGCAGCAGCAACAACAACAACAACAACAACTGCAGCATCAGCAGTCACAAGCGGCAGCTCACATGTACGCTTCGATGCCGACGCAACATATGATGTCCGTCGGCGACATGTCGCTGCAGCATCATCACCTGCAACAGCAGCAACAACAACAACAGCAGCAGCAGCAGCAGCAGCAGCAAATCACACAACACCAGCGTCGTGGCGGCAGTGTTGGTGGCGGCTTTGGCGGTAGCAATAGTAGCCTGATTGGCGCCGGCGGTAGCGGTGGTGGCGGCGGGCTGATGGGCGGCAGCGGCGTCATGAGCGCCAGCATGTCAGGCGGTGTTGGTGCTGTTGGTGGCGGCGGCGGCGGTAACGTTGGTGTTGCAGGCAGTGTAGGTACAGGCGCTGGCGGCTCTAACGCGAACGGTCCAGATGCCTCGTCGCCTATGGTTGGCGTTTGTGTTCAGCAGAGTCCTGTAGTAATTCATTAGTTAGTTGATAATACATTAATGAACATACGAATGTATGTATGTGCGTCGGTACATTGTATACGAGTACATAGTATATGTATGTACATACATATGATGAAAAAATATATTTGTATTTATTTTAATGCGCGATAAACGATAGCGAAACAAGGCAACACTTGCACACACTGAAACACATGGCATTTACTTTAAATTCAATTGCTTAGTGTAACCGCTCACCATGACGCAAGATAAGCGTCATAGCGAAGAGCAAGCAAAAAAAAAGAAGTCAGAAAATGCTTGGCGCAAGCAGCAGTGTTTGTAAATATTATAAAGGAACTTTCGTTCTACATTTGTAAAGCATTTCGTATAAATGCACATATGTTCCACAAGAGTACAATGAGCTAATGAACGTCTTGATTTGCTACGTGTGGCTTTTGCAACATTTTTTAATGGAATCTACATGTGTTCCACAACGAAAACTTCCATTTGTTGCTTATCAACAGCTGCTTTGGCACTGCTGCAAGCTTTGCTAAGAGCGTTATTAAATTTCGCTGCAGAGTCTACATGCGTTCCACAGCGGTGGAAAGTGTTTTGACAGCAGAACGCATGTATGTGTTGTATATTAAAAACTTCGTGCGACTAACTTGAATTTCACATGCAATCCACATATGTTCCACATACAATTTTTATACAACGCATTAGGCGCTATGGGAAAAGTGAAGAGAAAATTTTTGTATCGACGGCCACACCCACATCCCAATCCACTTTTGCCACAAATCAATTTTATACATATGTGAGCCAAAATTTTGGTTTTGTACATAATGTACACATCGAAGCTTGAGCATTGCTTATGGATTAAGATTTCATAGAAAGCGAATGGCGAATAAACAAACCGAGAGCGTGGTAGGTCCGCACTACGTTTCTCATACATACATAAACACACAAACACACCACAAGCATATAGCTGAATACACTGAAATATTTATGTAGGTATGTACGATATGTGCTATCAACTGCCGGCAGCAAAAACCCTATACATACGTACATATGTTTTGTACATACATATGTTTATTGCGGAACGTTTGATTTAATTCAATTCGCTCCAACTTGACTACCTTTAATTAGTTTTAATTTAAATTTAAAATAATTCGAACATTTTTGTTGCCTGCCGTCTGCATTCTACATGTATATCGTAAATCATTTGCGTCTACCTAAACTTAATTTGACGAAAACAACCACACAAAAAAATACATATTGACTAAATAATTTTAGTTTTAATTATACTACCTACTTATATATTTAGTTTATTATTTGCATAATTTTATTTTGCGCTGTAAAATTGTAAATGCCTTATGGACGTCCTATTTTGTTTGTTCTCTTTTTTGTTATTTCCTTTTTTCGCTCAGCCAATCGACACTTCTTTACAATAAATTGTATTTTAGTGTAGTCTTGCATATAAATATTATTTTTCTCTCACTATTTGTCAGTTAAAAAAAAAATAGTTTGTAAAAACAGTGTAAGTAATGCTTAAATGGCATAACAGCAACAGCAACAAAAAAAAACTAGAAAACTAAATTATAGAGAAAGGAAAAATATAATTATGTTTACGTGCGCAAAAATCTCTACATACATACATATATAAAAGCTAACTATTTAATTGCAATGCCTATATATATTACACGTACTATAATTATATATTTCGTTGGAAATATACAAATTTATGTAAGATAAGTTCCAAAAATATTCATCTCTTTGGTAGTTTCGTTTTAATTGTGCAAACGGGGTGGTTCTGTAAGTATGTGGATACACTGGTGGCAGAAATAATAGAAACGCCTTGTTTTGACCAGGTTTGGCTTTAATTGTTTTGTTTCTTTAAAGTTTAATATTTTTTTTATAAAACTCTAGCTCTTCGTATAAAAATAAAACCCTTTTTTTTAAATTCTGATTAAAAAGTTTAAAATTTTTGGTAAAAATTTGTTGAATTGGTATAAAGCTTGCAATGCGCATTTATTTGCATTAATAAGTAAACAAAAGAAATACAGCCAAAACTGGTCAAAATAAGACGTTTCAGTTATTTCTGCCAACAGTGTATATAGGGTGTATATACAGTGGTGGAAGAAATAATGGAAACTTTTTACTTTGACCATTTTTGGCTATATTGCTTTGTTTATTCGATGTTTAATATTTTTATATAAAAGTCTAGCGCAATATATAACACACACCATATAAATCCACATTTCAAAGTTTGTACAAAAATAAACAATTGAAATGCGACGTATGCAACATTTTTGAATGAAATCCACTTGCGATCCACAACGAAGTCACGCAGTATTTATACCCAGAATCGGTTGTGCACAGTACCAATAAACGTTATTTAAATATCAGCAATTTCTGGTGTGTTCCACATACGATCCACAATAAAAAAGCGTTGGTTCCACTCAATGCGGCATGGCTATAGCATGTTAATACTCTATTTAGGTCGTTTATCTACATACATACATACATTCCACACAAGTACCAGTTGATTACGATCCTATTCAAAACACGGTAAATAAATTTTTATTATTATTGTGGCGTAGTAATATTTACTTTTAGCAGTTTTATTGAGCTTTTTACCACGATTTGTTTATTAGAAAAAATTTAAAACGCAACAAAATCTAAACGGTAGAAGTATAGCTGCTATTTCGGAGATCACCACTTCTCCTCATCAAGCTTTTTTCTCTAGACTTCAGCAGGAGTCGAAATGTTTTTTGTAGCGCAAGGACATTGTTTACATCGCGGTTATGTGTAGGAAGTCTTCAATACTTTATGGATACTTTCCGCATAAAATCAAATGCGATACCCCAATACTAACCTATGAAGAACTTCGCATCTCTTGATCCACCAGCAACTGTGACCGCCTGTGACCGCGGGGTTGTTGTAGCCGCTACAGATCAGATCTCTAAGGCTGTTAGTCTCCACGTAGGCAGGACGCACAGCAGCACGACCGCTACGTTCGCTTTCGGAAACGCCATCATTTTAAGGGCAAAGATCTACTGAAACAACAAAAGAGTCCCTAACATTATAAGTAAAAGAGCCATAATTCAATATTAATGTTTATTTTTCCAAGCACACGGTTCAATTCATAATAATTAATTAATTATTGTATCATGTTCCAAGCCTGGATTTTCAATCAATAATTTATTTCCTTATCTGTCGTTCGACAAGCTTATCAGTAATTCATAATTTTTAGAACTAGTAAGTGTAAGAAAAAGTATCATGCGAGCACAAAAAGGAGCAGCAAGTAAAAATTTTAATTACAAATCGAAAATTGTTTCACTCCACTTAGAACAGGACTTGTGCACGATAATGTTTCTGCAGCTTATTCGCCCTGCAGCCAAGCTTCATTTGCCATTTGGCCTGCACGCGCTTCATGACATGCAAATCACGCGCCTTACGTGCGGCCGCCTGTTGTTGCATATTACTCCAGCCCAACGCACGATATTCGCTGAGCACCTTATGCAAGCGACGATCTGATTTTTTGGGTACAAGAGCACGGCTCGGATTAAGGCGCTGTTTATAGTAGCGTAGCAGTGAGCGATGACCGATTACAGCGCCGGAAGGCAAAACCAGTTGGTACTCATCGCCATCAAGCAGATCAGGAACAACTTCTTCGTCGACGTCCATACCCTCTTGCTGTTGAGGAGCAAATGAGTATATAAGGTACGGTATATAAGTGTTTATACCTATTAGCACTTACATGATCGGGATAACTGGAGCTATAATCATAGTAATCTGCATATTCGGCTAATGCCAAACCCTCATGCAGCAATTGGCAGTGTCCTTTGTCAACCATATGTTTACGTACAGCATCTAATGAGTAGAATGTCTTGCCGCGATCGTTGCACCAAAGGCAAATAAAGTAGTTGGCCACTTTTTCGCCCAGATAGTAGAGTAAACCTTCCAAGTCAGTACAAAATTCTGTGTCGGGAATGAAGAAGGAGTGTGCGATGGACATGTGTTTTAGATTCTCAACCATATCTTCGCTGACGTGCGTGCAGAACAGGCAATCTTTTTCGGTCAACGGATTGTCGGGCAACTTCTCCCACTCGTCTGAGTCAAACTGTTCAGTCTATAGTACATGAAAAAGAAACGTTAAAATTCAATTAATTTAGATATACGAGTTTTGTTTACCTCTTCAACTTCCACATCCTCAAAGTCTTCATCGTCATCCATATCTTCGTATTCATCATCCTTTTGTTCCTTCTCCTGCTGACGCTGCAATGCAAATCGACCCTTGCCTTCTGCTGCTGCAGCTAACGCTGGGTGTGGTTTCTGCTGCACAACGCTCTTTTTGGTGACTTCCACTTCCTCATCCTTGTGCTCACGTTCGAAGAGCAATAGATTATCTTTGTGTTTCTTGCTATGCAGGTGATTGTCGTGCGCCTTCTGGTTGCCAAACTGCTTGCGGCATGCGTTGCAATAGAAGCTCATTTGACTCTCCTCCTTTTCTATTGCCTCCTCCTGACGAATACGCAGCACGCGTTCTTGGAAGGCTTCTGCGGTAACTGGTGGCAATTCAGCAACACGACGTTTCAGATTGTACCGATGCCAGTCAGTTTTGTAATGGTCTCTCTGCATATCCGCTGAAGGGAATTTTACGCAGCAATTTATGCATGTATATGCTGACATTTTGACTTTGCTAAATGTTCCACTAATTTTCTTCGTATGAAACCTATTAAATTTTTCTTAAATTTAATTAGAAAGCAAATTATTTCACAATTAATCACAATTCGCAATTGTACCAGAAAAGTGAAAAAAACAGACACGTTCTGCGAAAAGGATGACAGCTTTTTAGCGTTGCCACATAACCGCAGTGAGAATATTAAATGTATCAGGTTTAAATTTGTAAACAAAATTTCAGTGGCGAAATTACGAGCAATTTTAGTAAACTTTTTTTTTGTTTTCCAAAATGAAATTTTCAATGTTCGCTATGAACAAAAAAACTGCAAAGGAAATCTAAACGGAAAATTTGAAAAATCACCCAACAAAAAGTTCTCCGCTCTCCATCAGTTGACAGTGGATTACTTTTTCGGATGTTGGTAAAATTGGCGCCTAATTTAAATGTTGACCGCGTTTATAAATGAAAAAAAATTAATAAACGATAGTTTAGTGAGAAATTTGCACCTTTCTAAAAATATGCTGAAGTGAAATAAAAAGTAAAAGTGTAATATATTATTAGCAATTAAGGAATCATGTAGTAAAGAGGTGCTAGCTAAGATGCTTCAAAGGTAGTAGTTTCGGCTGGTGCTACGGAGTCACGGTAATGGAGTAGAGTTGTTATCCTTAGTTGAAAGTTAAGCAGATTTGGAAGTATACAATTCCCTAACATCACTGTACAAATACATTTCAAGGCGGGTAAGTTCACACTTTTCTTTATATTTTCCATAACAAATTAATCTACAAGGCAAGGTATGTGTATATTAACATGTACATACATACATACATATATAAATAAGTACGTATGATAGGCAGATGCACATTCAAAGTCAAACGTTCTGTTTGTATACACCTAATCCTACTCCTCCAACACATTATCCAGCCACTCTTGTATATCATCCTTGTTCACCGCTCCATTTCCACTTCCTTTTGCGTCAGGTGCTGCTACATTTTCTGCACCACCGCCACTACCATCAGTTATTTCCACCTTCGTCCAAGCGGCCGTGGTCAAATTTAACAATTCGTCCAGCTCATCTGGAGCATTGCTTTCACTTTGTACAGCAGCAGCAGCAGACGCTTTACCACTATTCTGTGAACGTCCTGATCCACTTTTTCGACTACCACTATTAATTTTTATGCGTGGATTTGTTTCGTGCTCATGCAATACATTCTGATAGTTTTTCTCAGACGCCTCAGCAGCTTTCTCCATTGCTGTTAACTGTTCTCGCGTAAACATAGAGGCAGCATAATCCATGCGCTTATAGAATGGTATCGTTTGCAAGCCAACATTTAGCAGTTTCAAGTTGAGCGTAAAATATTGACTGGCCTCTGTGTTATCCAGCAATTGTTCGCCCTCTGTGGTTTCCCAATTCTTCTCGGAGGCAAATTGAAAATGACCACCCACAGATGTGGGCAATTGTGCCATTAAACCAAAATCACCGGCATGCATTTGTGCGGATTCCACTTCATTTAGATCGTTGTCCTCATCGTCCAGTGAGTAACGTCGCGTTTGCGGATGTGGACGGGAGCTGGTCCAGCCCCGTCGTGAAACAAAACGTTCATCACTGGAATCTGCTACATCGACTACACCACGCACTACCTCAACTTGTGAACTGGACGAGGTGTTGTTATTGTGTTGCGTTGGCGGTTTCTTGCGATATTGCTTCATTTTGGTGCGCTTTCTGTAAAATTTTACCCGCTTAATAAAATGATGACTTCATAGGTGTTACGTTGCAATTGCATTATACTCACTCTTTCGATCGATTGTCCTTGCTTTCCATAGTGATACCCTGTTAAAATTGCCTTTGATTATTTGTTTACGTTGCTAGGGTGATATGTTCGATTTGTAAAGGCATGTGGCCAGAAGAGTATGTTCACGTTAATAGTTCAACAGCTGATTTGCAGTAATACGCTCAAAGAAAAAAATTTGTAAATTAAACAACAATAGAATTTTTATACTGTGTTCTGATCGACAACGAAAACACGAGTTTTGGGATTGTGGGCTGAAGGCTGTTCACACCGGCTGTTAGTGTTTTCGTTGACATTTCTTACATCTTTTGATTACAGTTTTGCTACACAAAAACAAAACCAAAACACTTTTCCTTCATTTTCTTTGCATTTACAACCTCTTAATTTCATTCTTATTTTACTTAGGCAGACCAATTAACAATAAATCCGAAATGGCTTATTAAAGATGATAAAATATGTCTTCCACTTCGATAAATAATCGAAAAAAAAATAGTGAAGACACCTATTGGAATGAGTGGAACGTGAGTTTTCAAGTAGTTTTCAGCGAAAACTGGTTTTCGTTTGACAGATTTTACATGGATGAAAGAAAACACATGTTTTAGCAACGAAACATGTTTTCGATGTCGGTCAGAACATGGTATTAGCAACGAAAACATGTTTTCAATGTCGGTCAGAACATGGTATTAAATGCTTCCTGCAGTGTAATGCTGACAATCGCCACGATAAATTTGGGTCGCGAAAATTCTCTAAATGGAAAGCAGTGGGGCCGAAAAATACAATATAGTACGGATAAATAACAGATACAATATGCGCATTCAGTAATTTTGTAGTAAAGAAAAGAATTAAGTATCTACTATTAAGTATTAATCTATAATTTAAAACAAAGATTTCAAATTTGCGGGCACTAGCTTAGGTTAGGTTATATCCACTGCAAGACTTGGTGGGGACAATTAAGGTATAATTAGCTTTACCAGATAAATTACGACCACTTTGGACAGCTAATCACTGTTAATCTGGAGCAACGTTGAAGAATATCGCAGTTCTCTTGGCAAACTGGAACAACTTGTGTTACCCTACCTTGGCGGCCTTCCAGATTAGCTAGAAACCCTGCTACTAGCAGACGAATTCGCAGTCGCAGAGGATATGCGCCACGGTCTTCTCTTTCATTCTGCATCTTTTGCAGATCTCATTATTGGTCTGAGCCAGTTTAAAGTTAGAACACCCGCCTAGCCTAGCGTCCTCCGCCCTGAGGGCAGGGAGAAACTTCGTGAGCATTTAATATGATCTGCACATAATTCTGGACACCTTGCAGCCTTGACTTTTGTTCCGCGACTTCTGCGCCTTCCGGATCATGTGCAGGTCGAATGCCCCTTTAATCGCTTGGAGTGAAATCTGCACCTCTATCAGTATGGTTTCCGACAATGCATCCTCTTTGGCAATCCTGTCGGCCTCCTCGCTGCCCACGACGCCGTTTTGCCCCGGAACCCAGTACACCATAGCTGTCATGCATTCCGCCATACTTCTAGAGGAAGGGATGTGTGATATTAGCGCTTTTATCGCTGCCTGACTGTCAATACAGAGAATTACCTGTTTATTTGCTATATTGCAGTTCAGCCGCCCTCCTTGTGGCCAATACCTTCGCCTTCGAAGTTCGTTTCAAAGTTCAGATCCGGGATCACATAGTCAATCTGTCCAAGTAAAGTTGACGCTATACTACTGTGACTGTAAGACCTGCACACAAACTGACCCGTAGCATAGAGCCAGTCAGCAGTTTTTGACGCTACATTCTTCGCCGATAGGTCCGCCGGCCTAGGTGTAAACTGCCGCCGTTGGTGTAGTCCTAAGTGCCACTGTCATGCTGATCATTGATAGCTCATATACACTTTCTATTCTATTAAGAAATGTTTTCTTCTGCATTGAAGCTTGAAATTGCGGAACGAACCCATAACGTCGTCATTCCGTTTAAAATGGCTTGAGTTGAGACATTGTGGAATGCCCCCGTTATGTCCAGGAAGATCCCGAAAACGAATTCCCCGTTCCCTAGAGCTACTTACATTCGCCTAACAACATTGTGTAGGTCAGTATCTACAGATCTTCCTTTCGTGTAGGCGTGTTCTGCCTTTGATAGGATGTATTCCTTTCCAGAGTCTTTTGAAGAAACGATATTAGGCTAACGGGCCCGTAATCCTTTGTATATGCGTGACCACTTTTGCCCACTTTTGGCAGGAAGACCAGTCCTCAAAGACGTTGGCACGTAGGTCTGCCTGAAAAAGCCATCAAATATATTGCACAGCCAACCCTTGGTCTTCTAACTCACCTTCTGCAACATCGCAGGAAAGATGCCATCCAGAACCGGCGATTTATACTATGAAATTGAGCTCACGGCTCACTCCAGTCTGGAAGGTGACATCCGTCCTTTTATGCGGTGGATACTGCAGCAGCAGGTAGATCATCTGGATCCTCGGCCGCTGGGAAGTGTATTACTAGCCGCCGTTCTTTTTAATGCGAGCCTGGCTTACACAACCCTTGGACAGGACCTTCCTTAGCCTTTCTATCTCACTGGAGCTTTCCATTCCACTACAGAAATTCCGCCATGAGTTTCTTTTGTCACTACGTACGGATTTCTTGTATACTCTTAGAAGGTCCGTGTACTCCCAACACTCGTTAGAGTCAGTACATTTGGCTAGCCGAAAAGTTTCCCTCATCAGTTTTCTAAAAAAAAATAGGTTCAGGGCTCCTCCAAGGAAGCTTTGGTCTTCCTTTAGCCTCCTTAACATCATTTACTATCGTTCACCCCTTTCAGGACCTGAAAGAAGTGTCCTTTAGGAATTTTTTAGCAGAAATGGTAAAGGCTATATAAGCCTGAACTAGAAGGAGGGTCTGCCAAGGACCATCCATCCTGTCAGCTCGTCGCCAGGCTCATAACAAAAATTTAAATCAAGAACGCTCTTCGACGTTGATCCACTTATGTGGGAGCCATGCCGCTATTAGATACGCTTAAGTTGCTGTGAATAAGGAAACAATGTAGGGTCTCACCTCGTTCATTAGTGTTGCTGCACTCCCAGGGGATGATGTGCATTCGCTTCCGCGCCTATGACGACGTTCCGTCTAATGCGCTTCTCCTTCTCAACCAACCTTCTAAACTCCTTGTGTGCCATGTAGCAGGACCCCTTGACTACAACATCCTTCGAGAACTATTTTATTAAAAAATTCCGTTTAAAATATGCACTTTTTTTCTAAATTTTGAGGTGGGTTCTGCGCAAAGATGCTATGGATAGCGTAGCCGGAGTTGAACTACTAGGGTTATTTTTTTTAAGCGCGACCAAAAACTGAACACGCTGATTTTTTATTTTGTAACAAGTCATCCTGTGTCAAAGTTAGTTT